TGATTCCCATCTAAGACCTTCTGTGGTGTAGTTGGTAGCTTAGTAATTATAAGTCCCAGGTTCAAGTCCCTAGTGGGGTAAAAATGATTCATGTTTTCATGCATGGTAATGTGCTTATTTGGTTATTGTTGGTCCCGAATGAGATTGGGATTTGAATTAAATGCGAAAACGAAACCTCGAGTCAGCTTGGGGGAAACTGTAATATGAACATAGTGGCATACAGATAGAATGCGTTCATTCTTAGTATAGCAGATATAAGCTGTATGGTCTGTGTCCCTTTTCAGACCTGTGGTGTAGTTGGTAACTCCTTGGCTTAGTAATTATAAGTCCCAGCTTAAGTGTGGTTGGTGTAAAAATTATTCATGTTTTCACGTATGGCAAAGGGCTTATTTGATTATTGTTGGTCCCAAATGAGGTTGAGAGTTCAATGAAATGCGAAAATGAAACCACGAGTGAGGTTGGAGGAAACTGTAACATGAATATAGTGGCATTCAAACAAAGTGCATTCATTCCTAGTATAGCAGATATTCGCTGTAAGGTCCGTTTTCCTTTTAAGACATTGTGTGTTGTAGTTGGAGCGCCTTTGATTAGTAATAATAAGTCCCAGGTTCAAGTCCCTGTTGGGATAAAAAATATTCATATTTTCACATATGGTAATGTGCTTATTTTATTATTGTTGGTCCTGAATGAGATTAAGAGTTGAATTAAATTCAAAATTATAAGGCCCAGGTTTACGTCCCTGTTAGGGTAAAAATTATTCATATTTTCACATATGGTAATATGCTTATATACATACATATATATATATATATATATATATATATATATATATATATATATATATATATATATATATATATATATATATATATATATATATATATATATATATATATATATATATATATATATATATATATATATATATATATATATATATATATATATATATATATATATATATATATATATATATATATATATATATATATATATATATATATATATATATATATATATATATATATATATATATATATATATATATATATATATATATATATATATATATATATATATATATATATATATATATATATATATATATATATATATATATATATATATATATATATATATATATATATATATATATATATATATATATATATATATATATATATATATATATATATATATATATATATATATATATATATATATATATATATATATATATATATATATATATATATATATATATATATATATATATATATATATATATATATATATATATATATATATATATATATATATATATATATATATATATATATATATATATATATATATATATATATATATATATATATATATATATATATATATATATATATATATATATATATATATATATATATATATATATATATATATATATATATATATATATATATATATATATATATATATATATATATATATATATATATATATATATATATATATATATATATATATATATATATATATATATATATATATATATATATATATATATATATATATATATATATATATATATATATATATATATATATATATATATATATATATATATATATATATATATATATATATATATATATATATATATATATATATATATATATATATATATATATATATATATATATATATATATATATATATATATATATATATATATATATATATATATATATATATATATATATATATATATATATATATATATATATATATATATATATATATATATATATATATATATATATATATATATATATATATATATATATATATATATATATATATATATATATATATATATATATATATATATATATATATATATATATATATATATATATATATATATATATATATATATATATATATATATATATATATATATATATATATATATATATATATATATATATATATATATATATATATATATATATATATATATATATATATATATATATATATATATATATATATATATATATATATATATATATATATATATATATATATATATATATATATATATATATATATATATATATATATATATATATATATATATATATATATATATATATATATATATATATATATATATATATATATATATATATATATATATATATATATATATATATATATATATATATATATATATATATATATATATATATATATATATATATATATATATATATATATATATATATATATATATATATATATATATATATATATATATATATATATATATATATATATATATATATATATATATATATATATATATATATATATATATATATATATATATATATATATATATATATATATATATATATATATATATATATATATATATATATATATATATATATATATATATATATATATATATATATATATATATATATATATATAT